ACTCGCTTTCACCAGGTTATATTCTCCTATGGGCCGATAAACCGGAATGACAGTCTTTTGAATCAACATGCATTTATTAATATATGTGAAATGATACACTGGTCTTCTATATATATTGAATACTTGATGCGACCCAAATATTTTAAAGAACGAATGAAAAAACAATTCGTATCTGCTTGACGGAAACAACAATAACTCCTGGATGGCAACTCAACAGTTTAGTGATGATCATAAAGGATCTGGTAACATTATAATCCAAGAAGAAAGCGACCTTTTCATTGTTGTTAATCTTGTATGATATCGCCGATGTGAGATTGAATCTACGCCTTACTTTACATAGTAACTAATTTGACATACTCAGATTGCCCAATAGGTACGGTTAATAACTTATTGAACAACAGCATAATGCTAGACTATTTCTGTCCGATTTTCCAAACTGAGTTGAAAGCTGGTTTCTAAGTACAAGCAAATTCTGTCCTGAATAAATACAATTTAACATTTAAAAAATAATTAAATCTGAAACTAATGAATATGGTATCATCGAGACGCGTGGTAATAAGTAAAATACCAAATAATATACAAACAGAGTCTCGGCATGCATGCGGGGGCAACGTTGTTTATCATCGACGCGACGGTTTATGGCAAAAAACAAAATCATACACCTCCTATAGTTTATCTATGGTGAAACAACTTCAAATATCACACTTTTAATATTGACATGTAATTTCGAGCTTTTATATCTGCCGTTTTGTGTTTATATATTTTTTTTATTTAATTTAAAACATATGTATCTTATTGTTCTACGCTGAAGTTCGGAGTTTGAAACACTTATTATTATGCCACAAAGTACCAACACGGCATGTTCATAAAAATATTCGCCTGTGAACTACTCGCGTGCTACCATGTTCAGACGTATGCCACAGACCCGGCTAGATTAGCTTGGTAAATAATCTTTGTCAGTGGTTTTAAATGTTTCTGTGTTCATACGTACTTATATAAAGACTAAACTGAGCTGGCGTTGTTATCAGTCGCCATTGTTTCTTTAAAATACTTGCAATGAATGGAAATCCAGAGCGAGGCTGACATTGAGGGCGTGCTTTTAAGGCGGCGTTATTGTTCAGACGTGTTAAAGCCCGGGTGCCCCCGGTTAAGACTTGCCATTTTAGGCTGTCTTAAACTAAATCGACGTGGCACCGGCTTATCTTGTTCATACGTGTTTCAACGCCGGCTTAACTATAAAGCTGGTCTACAAAACCGACTTTTTGGCACACGTGTGAACGCGGAATCTGTTTCCTCCAAATTTATATTGCTCTCAAGAAATCGGTTGCGTCTTCGAAATAGAATGATTGTTTTCTAGACGTTACAAATATAATTGCCAATTATTTATGTGTATAAATTGCGTACAAAGACTTCATTTATTGCAATACTGTCCATGATTTTTTCTTGTGCAATCTTGTTCTTCATTTTTTCTTCTATCTTTTTCCAGTGACTTTTGTTACCGGGACCGTTGCAGTCCTTTCCCGTGTTCGTTTAGAGAAAACTTGTTTTCTTTCTTTCTTTTTCTTTCTATTTCTGTGATACTTTCCCCATCTATTCTACAGTGTCTTAGACTGATTGCGCTCCTCTGAATATCCAATTTGTAAGTCTTATTTCGAGAGAGAATTAATTAAAATAATTATTGTTCCGACTCCTGCATGTAATCCCGTTTGAAATATATTTTATGCGGTGGTCCTCACAATGGTGACGAAGTTTCGGAATATGTCACCGTTGTTTGACACAGTGGTCCTACATCCTATATACAATTTGCGTGATACTTTCTTCTGAGTGCGTCAACAAATTCGCACCTACTAGAATAAAAATAGCCGAAATGGCGTACAAGCCTAGCAAGCTATCACACCAATGCAGGGTAGGTGAATATAAGCGGCGCAATTCCATACAATTTAGAAAATAATTGTGGTCGAAAGTTCGAATGTGTGCACCGTAATTGAACGTCGAAAGCGCCTACAAATTGATGACGTCATCGGACAAAATATCACGCGCGCAAGGACTAATAGATGGTGTGTTTGTCACCCCAAGCTCACTTCTAGTCGAGTAACACGTGTATCACCCAGAAAACGTGCGAGTCGATTGAACTTGACATCAAATGACAACATTAGTGGCAAAAAGACCCGCACCGCAACGTGTAAAAATAATTGGGCGCCATTATGTCTTGTTATAAAAGCATACAACATCGAACAATTTCTTTTCTCAACAATTCAATGAAGTTTCATGCGGGACGCGCCGCATCCCGACCTTGGCTGAGTAAACAAAGAACTGGTAAATGTGTGCACGTGACTCTATTTTTGTAAACTCCACCGACGTGTAACGCCTACATCTAAATTACTCGTGTAAAAAAATAAAAAAACGAACTTTTAAAATATATTTTTACACAGCGAAGGTGAAAACCAAATAGAAGATAATGTGATCGCCTTGTACCATATACTAGTAATCGAAATCATGCTCGTTTTTTTTTAAATTATTTATTTATTTATTTATTTATTTATTTATTTATTTATTTATTTATTTATTTATTTATTTATTTATTTATTTATTTATTTATTTATTTATTTATTTATTTATTTATTTATTTATTCATTTATTACTAATCATTATTAAAATTTGTTTAATATTATGGTGCAATTCAAAGAAAATGCAGTTTATAATTCTATTATTATTACATCACTAGTTTGAACATTCTCGACATTCAAAGCTAACAAAAAAAAACATAACATTTCTTTTCCGTCTCCACTTACTAAATAATACGACACCCAAAAAAGTACACCACCTCGGTGGACTGATGAAAGTAACAATTTTTTAGCGATAATGAGTATAAGAAAAAAAATAAGCCAAGCGAGACTGGGTTGCCGGTTCAGAGGTCACTTTAAAATTGTGATATCTCGCTCTAAGACAACAACACAATTTACGTGGGTTTTACCAACCCGGCACATTTGCAATGAGTACAGATATAAATAGACCAGTTGTCAATGTATAATGCTCAACCGTATGGCAGCTCTACTCACTCATTTAAAGCCCACACTTACACCTATTTCCATAGCTCGCCATATTGTCGGCCAATATTCAAACAACCCCCCCCCCTCCTACCGTCACAGGATGATATAAAATGCTGGCACTCGTAGTCGTAAAGAACTTCAATAAAATTAGTCTTGGTGATAACAGGGACTAGTAGTATCGACGGTTATTTTTACCCACCCGGACCATAACATATTCGTCGATCGGAACGCTAACTAAAGAAAAAGTTACCACGCATTTGACACTCCCCTCAATAGGTCGTCGAGACTGAAGCGGAATCGGCTTCACAGAGACACGAGTGGGAAAAAACAGCCAGCAAATTTCGGTAAGTTTACCGTTTGTACCTGTGTATTTGTAAGAGTCAATACATATATGATATATTTACGACATTATGCAGGCACAGTGGCAGACAACTCAGGTAAATTTCCTACCCACCTGTTTTTACGAGTTAACGAACGGACAGCGGGCACCTTTACCTATTTATCCGGAGAAAGATCATAACCGTTAACTTTTTTTTGGTCAAGTTGATCGTATTATATATTTATACTTGTTACAAAATAATACAGTGTAATGAATTTCGACTTTGTCGTATAGGCTTCTTTTAAACATACTAACAGATCAATATTTGTTTCGGGCACGTTCTTGTGATTCGACAGATATCTTCATTATTCTGTTAAATTCATACGTACAACAATTACTTTAGAGCGAAGCGCGTTCTAATATCCTTCTGCTAGGGTTAGTTTCATTTTGTTTTTAAATTATAATCCCGATTAAATATCACGAATACTCAGTTGTTACAGTTGGTATTAGTTACGAAAAAATGATAAATAAAAAAGCGAACGTCTAGATGTATAGATAAATAAGTAATCAGACATTGAATATGGCAAAATACGGATTATATAAATAAGAAAAAAAAAAAGAAATGTTTCTGTGAATCTAGCACCACCCGCTTTTAAATACTAGTAGATTGGTATTTCGTTAACCCCAAACTGAATACAGAGGATATTTTTATACTGGAAGCGATAAAATAGCTTTTTGGCAAGCTTTAATATGAAAAAAAAGATAAATATTTATTGTTTCATACACACTTGTTGTGTTGCGAGCTAATGAAATTGTTAAACCGGGTAATTTAGCAGTCTGGTTTCCTTGATGAGCTGAGAAACGCCACTATACACTCAGCACGCGTATGTGCGTGCGGGTCAAATGCGTCAGGGCGCTAAACGAATCGTTTTTATAAACACAATATTCATTATCGACGATGAAACATGCTAAACTGTTGTATATAGAGAGTTTAAATTGAACACGGGTATATTATTAAGCATTTTTGCTCGCGCAATAATCACATCGTGATTAGTCACTGCGCAGTACCGCGGAGTGGTGCGCTCGCTCTTGCGATAAAATTGACTGCGGTATTTAAATTCGTCGCTCTACCTTCAGACGGTAGGCAGGCAGGTAGGCAGTGGTGTGCAATTTACATCTGTTTTCATATATGTATATTTACAAAACGAAAATACACATCATACTGGGTAAATATTGAGTATTTGCACCCAACCTGCAGCATTTTGGACATGAATTTTGGCAGGCATGCCCGTATACCATCAAATAATATTCATTGCATGCGATTTGATGAGTATGTCTGATTTCCATTTCTGCTGGGTGAAAAATTAAACAAAACCATTCAACCCTCAAACCTTTTTGTTACTTTATTGCCTATTTAGAGTAATAAACACGCGAGCTTTTCAGAAATTTCGTTATTTTCAATTTCGTAGTCTTTTCGTTATGACTATAGTGTGTTCGGTGTTCCCGCCCACACTTTGGATCCGTATGAGCTGCTCGCTGTAACCAAACGCATTTTCTGGCGGGAAACTGTGACTAATTTTATAAAGACTCGACAATGAAGATGTTTTCTACCATTTCAGATTCATTTTAAAAAAAAAGTGTTCGTGGTCAGTCTTCGAAATTTTCACGATGAATTCACCACATCTGATGTCAAATATCATGTCGCCCGGACTTAGTGAAAGCTCTTCTACCATGACAACGTCGACTTTAGCCTCCACGTCGTCCCTCTCACCCACAGAGAAAACGTCATCCATATTGGATCCGACAGACGATATAGGTGTCGGCATGAAACTGCGACGTAGTCATAAAGATGACTTTCGGAGGCACAAAAAACACTCGAAAATCGACAAGGTAAGTTTTTCTACATCCATGCAACTATCGCAATATTTCACAGTTTATAACAAGGTGTGATTGGTATTAGTTCCTTAAATTATATCGTTTCATTTCCTTTTCCACCAACCTGTTGAAATATACAACACACCTGTAGGATGGTACACACTAGCAGCCTCGTTCGCGACTCGGTTTTCAATCACAGACATGTTGATTTATTATTATTTTTTTTCAAACATACGTTGCCATTTACATTTTATTTTGTTTAACGTTGTATTTTCGATACACCAAATAGAACATTATTTTTGTTAATGTGGTTTGGACATAACCATGCTAGTCATTGAATGGTTGGGCGGCCATCTTCAATTTACTCAGTTCAAATTCATACTAAATATGTCCCGAATCAATTCGTAATTACTATTTAATAGTGGTAATTGACATAATCAACGGCTTCACTAAATGAAGAAAGGCGATATATGTAATTTATCGTCATGACCGTGATGATATTACACGACCTGTCGACACCCATGGATATTGTGCAATATTTCTGAAACAACATGTATGAACACAAATTATACATCGCTACGCATGCAAAAAGTGAACTTTTCATTATAAACATGACATTGTATCGACAAGAACAGAATCTGTTATTATTTCAAGCCAGGTATGTCTCTGTGTATAACCAATTATGAATATTCATAACTGATAAGAACGTTATGACGTCATAACTATAACAACAATGTGATACATTATTTGTAATATAACTTGATAAATTGCCAAAATTTAAAAACAAAACATTTTATAATAAACAATATTTTTGTAGTTGCTAATTTCTGATTTTAAACTTTGAGTCGTAGATTAATGGCAACGCCATATTTGTCAGGCATTGTGTAAACGATCTCTCAACGCCCGCTTCTCATGCATGTTATCTAGTTTGTTTGTTTGTTATTGTTGAAAATGTTCCCTCTTGTTTTGTGTACTAGTATGTTTTGTTCAAAAAATATAAATTGCAGACGATTTCCTTCGTTTTCGTGCTGTGCGATGTCGCTATATTTAGGTATTCTGCTTTGGCAACATAAATATAAACATTATAATCCGAATAATCACATCGAGTAAGGAAA